TATATAGATGTATGTATAGCTATAGATATAGTTATAGTTCGTTGTAGATATAGATATAGTTATAGTTCGTTGTAGATATAGATATGGATATATATATATATATTTGTATATGTATATTATATGTATGTCTGTATGTATCTATGCATATATGTAAGTATGTAAGTATGTACGTATGTACGTACGTATGTATGTATCTATGTATGTAAGAAATATATATATGTATGTATATATATATATATGTATATATATATATTTGTATATATATATATATATATATATGTATGTATGTATATATATGTATTTGTATATATATATGTGTGTATATATATATATATTAGTATATATATATATATATATAAAGATAGTTATAATTATATATATAGATAGTTATAATCATATATATAGAAACACATGTAGGGCAATTTTTTGGCAGATTCAGTTCCACACATGTATGTTTGATATACTCGAATACAGCCGGCATCACCGCGAATGACAACTGGAATGTCTCACACCTCTCGCCCGTTTGTGCTCGTTAGGTGCGTGCTGCAGCCTATTGCAGTGATCCCAAGGCAAAGAAAAACGATGGCAAGTTACGATTGCGATACAAAGCATCGGAAGGGGATCAAATGCTTCTCGATGCATTCATACGTGAACCAGCTGTGGAGCCGTATAAGGCCTACTTCAGCCTAGCAGATTACAGATATGCCGGTACAGCTGTGTTCCTCAGGTAGATCGTTTGCTCGTGGTTTCTGACTGGAAACTCGATCGGTATCTTTGCGTAAGTACTGGCCAATGCAAGAGGATGTAGCTTGTGGTTGGATCGGATGTGAATGTTCCGCTCTGTATAGTATATAGTACGCTATAGTGTTTCCACTTTGAATCACTGCTGGTATTGGTCGATTCCTGGACGAGCACGTGCACTGTGTGGTGTGCTGCGGACAAATCTATGCAGTTGATACTTAAATTGGGGTTGACTGACAATTACTAGCTTGTGGAGAGTCGATGGTCATGGGGTATGTGCACAGTCTTAGAGATCAGCTCACTCGTTTTGCTTGGATACTTAGGGAATGCAATACTTCATTAATCCTATGTTTTGTATTGCAAAGGCTATACATGTAGTATTGCTGAGTTGTTCGCGAACATCGTGGTATAAGTAGAGACTGTACTGAAATATAGTGGTTTCAATTTGTGACCAGCGCTTTCGTTCGTTCCTCTTTTCTACACAATCACCCTACATTTAAAGATCTGCACTGTGCAGCGAATCTGTGTAGCTAAGTAAACTGATGCACACTGTATGCGAGCAAGCTTGCATATGTACAGTTATCTACCCAACTGTATCTGCTATAATGAACCCGCCTATTGTCTACAGTACTTGCCGCTGTTTACATGTGGGTATTCACTGCGCATTGCCCTCAGTACGCCACACCCACAGTTTACCTTATAGCGTACAGCTAGACCTGCAACAGCATGTCACAAGGTCGTAAAGCAATATATAGGCCGGCACGTTCGTGTGCTAATAGTATATAGCCACAGGTCGACATGGTTTGCAGAAGCTCGCATAGCTGACTCAGCTCTTCCTCTGATCACATCTGCGGCTGTACTGCCTAGAGGTCTAGTACTATCACCCGTTATACATCTCTCTATGTGAGTGTTGAATTCCCCATATCCACACTAAATTACATGCTCCTGGACTCTGGTCGCTCAGAGCCCTAAAATCACACGCACGGGGTTTCGCTTCAGACAGGAGGCTATTGCACAACCCACCGCGGTGAGGTACAACATCGATCTGACCAAAGGGGCTAAGAAACACCAGGTAGAAGGCCGGGTTATATTTATGGAATGGCCCGGTCTGTCACTCCTGCATACATACGCACCGAACAATGGCGGTAGCGAGATATCGTGGCTCAAACGGAGGACTTGGGATGCGGATGTGAAGCGGTTTTTATCAGATGATGTGCACGAAGGTGCGTATCTCCACTGTGTTGTGAATTCTAACTAACCATATCGAATCCATATGCCTACTGCCTTAGTTTGTGTCAACAATAGGTGGTGTGACAGATTGACTACAGGGTGCAAGTAGCAATGAGTATGGTGGTCCGTGTGGTGTGAAAGCATGCATGACATTGTGCCAACAAACGTCACAGGACCTATGCTCAAAGGCGGGTGTTGAGGTCAAAACATTTTTGCAACGGAACAATGCATAAGAAGGTATATCTTTGGTGCCTCAGTCTACAGCGCAATGTACACGTACAGTTTAGGTAGTTTCGCACATACATACCATATGCCCATACACACACACATGATGAATGTATACAGAGTTGTCTATGAGTTGTGCATTCCTGATTGTGTATATTGTGTATCTCATTTTGATTCCAAAACAGGGAAGAATCTGATCTGGTGTGGGGATCTCAATGTGTCACCAACCGACAGCGATCTGAGCCACCCAGAGTTCTTCAGGCGACAGTTTCATGGAGAGCAGAAGGACAGAAAGCGATTCCCAGAATACGTCGGACAGGTACAGACTGGCATATAAACGAATATGTATAGCATACTATTGTCGGTGATGCGTATGTGAAACGCATAGTCGTCTCCTTGTGTTCGTCGTGTACAGTAGATTGATTCGCAATATCGAGATGTTCACAATGTACAAACACACATGTCAAAAAGTACAGTACAACTAAATAATATGAGTTGTTTTTACCAGACTTGTCTCCATACGCGACATTTCCATAGTGAAACAGACTACTAAACACATGAGAAGCTGCCAATACTCAACGGAAAGTGGTATACATAGTTTGTGTATACGTATCATATATGTATATGTATATATATGTATATATATATATATATATGTATATGTATATGTATATGTATATATATATATCATAATATTATATATAATATAAGTATGTATATATATATATATATATATGTGTGTGTGTGTGTGTGTAGTAATATATGTATATATATATATGTGTGTGTGTGTGTGTGTGTGTGTGTGTGT